CCCCCCCCCCCCCCCCACATATCTAGATGGAAAAACATTTATATAAAAATATGGTAAGGGAAAATCTTTTACGTTGTTCAATTTTTCCCCTCCTTCCCCCCATTTTTTTCTTCTTATTGCGTCAACCTGAACGCAGTCCTCCCTACTTCAATGAAACTGGTCTGAACAAAAGGCTTTAAGGAGGATTACCTTAACGCTTTTTTTTTTTTTAGCATAATAATGCGATCTAGCACTTGAGATGATCGACTATTTCCGATATAGGTCCTACCCGGAGACAGTACTTTCATCAACCCTTCAAATGGTTAAAAATATAACCCATGCTGATGCCTGCAGGTCACGTCCGAGCGACAATGATGACAGAACCAAACTTATCCTCACCAATCATCCTCACAATCTATTACCAAAACGTGTTTTCCTTTAAAACCGTGCCATCATCCTGGCCGACCCTGACACACACGACATTTTCTTTTCCTCGCCTCTAATTTTTTTCCAGACGTAATAAAAAATCTGCAAGACCTCCTTGTGCAAAGTCGCATCAACGCTCACCCCTCCCAATTTGGGACCAAGCAATGTGGACACATTCCCTCCCCTAAGTACATCAGATAAAGCACAGTTTCCGTTGTACTAGCCGCAATGTTGTCTACGCCATTGTTTGCACCCGCTGCCAGATGTCTTACATAGGGGAGACAGCATGCCGGCTCTCTAACAGATGTAATGAACACAGTCTGTACCATATTGTTCTAAAATGGTCCAACGACTTTTTTTTTAACTACCCAAATATGTTACCGGTACATCTGGCTTAGGCTGAGCAGCCCCGGTTTTCGCCAAGGTGTCTGCTTTTTCGTTGCCACTGGCGTTAACGTGCCCTGGAATCCACTGCAATGTTACCGCTCCTCCTAATCCACCGATCTTGCCCACGACATCCATGATGGTACCCGCTCTCCTACCCACGATCTCAGGGGCAGATCTTGAGTCGGAGTAGTCTACGACGTTGAGTCGCACAAGCTCCAACCTCTGCAAAGTGTGGTGCACACTTTCCAGGACCCCATGCATAGCCTCCAGCTCTGCATCGAAGTAGTCTACGACGTTGAGTCGCACAAGCTCCAACCTCTGCAAAGTGTGGTGCACACTTTCCAGGACCCCATGCATAGCCTCCAGCTCTGCATCGAAGTAGTCTACGACGTTGAGTCGCACAAGCTCCAACCTCTGCAAAGTGTGGTGCACACTTTCCAGGACCCCATGCATAGCCTCCAGCTCTGCATCGAAGTAGTCTACGACGTTGAGTCGCACAAGCTCCAACCTCTGCAAAGTGTGGTGCACACTTTCCAGGACCCCATGCATAGCCTCCAGCTCTGCATCGAAGTAGTCTACGACGTTGAGTCGCACAAGCTCCAACCTCTGCAAAGTGTGGTGCACACTTTCCAGGACCCCATGCATAGCCTCCAGCTCTGCATCGAAATTCGATGCTGCAGTCTCACGGGGCCTTGAAAGTTCCTGGTTTAGTGGCCCTCCATTTGGGAAAAAGGTGAGACACCATACCCCCGCATTCCTTTCTCTTGTGTTGGTAGAGCCGTACGTGAAAACTTTCACAAGGGTATTCGCATATCCATTCATGGCCTCTAAAGCAGCCGCTTTCTGTATGTGTTCAGTGCTGCCTATCGTCACTGCTGCAGCTGTCAAGGCCTCGTGAATCTTAGGACGTAAAGGTCATGCATACGACGGATTGGCTGTGGTTTGGGTTAGTCTTTCTCTATTGCGGTCTACTGTCTTCTCAAGTACCGCCACTTGATGCGCTCGTTGCAGTTGCCTCCCAGCTATTTTGCATTTGGAGCGACGGTTCCTTTTCATTAAGCTTTCGACAGTATTTAGCATTGCCCTGTGCCTTCTCATTTCTAGTGGTTAAACATTGGCTAAGACTTCTACATAGATGAATCTCAAAGCCTGATTCTAGATTCTGACTAAGTTTTTTAGTGCCGTTTTGCTTGCAAAGGACTGGACGGCATGCTGTAATCCATCACTGGCCTTAAATTGCTGGCCAGAAACAACGCTCTGAGCGCACTTGCGCCTGTATCCCAACTCGTGCATGCCAACTTTTTCACCAGGTTGAACTTAGCGATTGCCTGGGAGCAGAGGTCTTGTACAAAATTATGAAAATTCTCGGTGTCTATTTCCGTATGCCTCCGCTGCATTTACCTACTGATAGCCGATAGGTCTAGCTGTAGTAGCTGTTGCAGTCGGTGTCCCGTCTCTAAACAGTTCAATAGAAGCGATCACAAGGGAGCTGCGGATTTTACTATAAGTGCGATCGTGACCTGCACAAACACACCCACCCGGGTGAATTTGGAAAACAAGCTGATCCAGACTTATGGAACCTTAACATCACGTGGCATGAATGTCATGGTCTAATTCACATGTTTAAACCTTTGCTCCGCCCTCTTCGTCACGACAAATCGCAGTTGACTTACTCCCCCTCTTTGTTTTCCATTTAATCTCTGACATACTCATTTTCTGTCACAATCACCTTGCTGCAATCTCGGATAATACATTTCAGCTTAGTGATATATTTTTTAATTTCTGTTTTGCTGTTGTTTGTTCGCTGATGAAGGCTTCTTGCCGACATGTTCGTTGTTTTGTTGCGTTCCTTTTCAATTTTTCCCATACTTTGCTTTCAATCATTTTCCCCTTTCAGCCACCGAAAGTAAAATTTTACATGTTTTTTCAAATCCTTATAGAAACCTTAAATAATTGGGAAATAATTATTTTCGTTGCAGTGGACCAAATAAACGCCCTTTTAATGCACTGCTACAATATTTTCTTGGTTATAAATAATGTTTCATTTTATGTTTTATGCACTTAGCTTAAACCTCTGAAACTAGACTGATTGCTGGTAATATAAAATATTTGTATATAAAAATGTAGTTGTAGATTAGGGCTTACATGCTATTTCATTTAATCGACATGGAGTCAGTGTAACTAACTCTTTTATTACATATTGCTTACATTACTTGACGTGCAATATAAACACTTCATCGACATGATGCTGAGTGTAAATGTGACATTGAAAAAGGAAATGGAAACAAAATTTAATTTTTTTTTTTTAAAAACAAAGAAAGAATGGGCAAAGTACCCATGGCTCAAAAAGAAAATTATATTTCGTTATCCGGAAGTTCTAACCCGTGTGGTGCCACGTTTTTATTATGACGTCATTAATCCATTTACCATACCCCTCTAGAGAAAATTGCAAAATCGGAAGGAGGAAGCCATTTTGTTTGCAGGCGTAGTAAAATTTATGTCTGCCAGTGGAAACAAGCCACCATCCTAAAACTGTTTTCCCCGATTTGTTATAATAACCTTAAACAATTTGTTTGTGGTTGAATTATGTCCACAATGAATCCAGACTAGTGAGTATTATTGGTGAAAATACACTGGTTGTATTCTATAATTTGTTTATAAACAAAAAAAAAGTAGGAGACGGAGATCTCTGTGATGTGTGTGTGATGTCACCAAGATATACATAATTGAAATGATAATTTCTGAAGTTATTATGCTTGTATCCTTATTTCTTAGAGGAGTAAAATGGAGTACTGCAAATTTTATTGATTTTAATCTAGTTTTAAAAGAATTTTTCGGGACCGATTATTAATTGTGAGTGAACCAAAAGGACTTTATTTTATTATGAAGTACCCTCCAGTGATATAAATATAGTTGAGACACTGTTGAGAGGACCAGACTTAAGCTCAACTATTTAAAAAAAGACAGTGAAATTCTGGGGCCTAGCTCAACAGAAACTCATACAATCACTCAAACTCAATCTTGCCTTGATAAAAGTAAACTCCCATTTTTTAAGGCTGCACACACAGTGTATGCCTAGGCCAGGCACTTTCGTAAAGCAAGGAGACTACTTCACAATTATTATGGGAATCGGAACAGAAAAACAGAGTTTTAATTTTTAGATGTTGGTGCAATTTCATTGATGAAAGTACTATTTTGTCTTAAAATTGTAGTATTCATCCACGTCCACACATTTGTCAGTAGTAGACATTTGGGCCTACATTTCCATTGTAATTTATTGTCTTTTCAATTAACCCCAATATTTGTAATTACTAGGTAATATAATAAGGCGTCTTCGCCTACAAAATGTTTGAACATTTACAAAACATAAGCTATGTCTTTAATATTAGTACTTCCTCTTTATTAAACCCCTATGTTAAATTATGTATAATACTTGTGCCAATTATTTAAGCTAGGACATTTTTGCCATTTACAATTAGTTTTGCTTGTCTAAGTAACCTGGATTACCATAAGGTTACTCACCACCATTTCGACCACACCCCCTTTTAATGGCATAAGAGGCCAATACTTACGAAATATTTAATTATTTACACTTATTTATATTAAAATATTTGATAACTTGTGTTTTAAAGTGTACTTGGAAGGCATTTAACCACTAACTCCCATTGGCTTGACTGCAGAACATCCATATTATCCCAACGTAAAGGGAATAACTCTAAATTACTTGTGTTTTTAGAAAGTTCAATGGATCTCACTAATTTAAAAACCAATTGATGTGGGAAAAAATTATGTAGAGAAACGCATTATCTATCAGCTGATACCAAATATGTATGGGTGTATTAAATATGTACATTTTAAAAAATATTAACTGTTAGAAAATGTACACAAAATTATATTGTACAGGACAATTTCTTTTCTTTTATCGTAAAAAAAATACCTAAGTTTAGCTTGCCATTGAATGTAGCAAAACAGAGCTCCTATCTTTTATTTGAGCTGGTGCGGAAGTTTTTCTGCCAACACTGGTAACATTGTTTTTTATGTCGTGGGAGCCGAATCCTGCGATGCACCAAAGCTGTTCCAGCAACAGCCAAACCACCAGCAGCAGGGACCTCTACCTCAACCACCTGTCTTCTTCTCATTGAAGAACCTTTCATAAGGCTGTGGGCAATGTCCAAGGGGAAATTTCTAGAAATGTCTTGAGATCTGTTTCTGGACATGACATACTGGATACTTTTAATAAAGGATCTGTTGACCAATACATTGTTTATGCAGGTGATTTGTTTACACCGAACATATTTATGTTTGAATGTCACTGACAGTGACACGAGTGAAATTGTGAGCATACAAATTAAGCCTGGTCAGAAATCATTTGAAGTAGATAATCAGGAAAAAATAATTTTAAAATTCCAATGGCTGCAACTGAAGATCAATATTTGAATTGACAACATTAGGCCCAACACCTTATGTAAACATGTCTATTTACACTGGATTGAGCGTAACACTCTAAGGAAAGCACTCAGTAATATTAGCTTCAGTATCACTATCGAGTCGTCACCAGAGTTCTCATTTTAAATATTATGACCATTTTAAACACTTCCATCAAGATTTTCACCGTTTTTAATGACACTTTTGTATTAATCACTTTCATTACAATTATTTGAAACCAAACTTTCTAAGAATCTGAATTCTTTATATCAAATATTTTGATGTAAATAGTGGTAATGATTGAATATTTCCTAATTATTATCTTCCGCCATTAAAAAGATGTCGAGGACCACGCCATGGTCGAAATTGGGCTGAGTCGCATTATGCGGGTTACTTGAATAAGCATAATCAGCATCTGATATAACATACATTACTGAGGATTGGCATACTTATTAATCAATATATGATGCTTATTATTTAATATAAAAGAAATTTATTTTGATCTTTGGTACAAGAACATTAATGACTCACTAAGAGACACTTTTGCTTATAAATGTTATTGTTATAAGGTATACTTGGGCCTAACTATTTTAAAAATTGACTGGCAGGCCTGCTCAGATCATATTGTTGCCTTTTTCATAACCATTTGTTAGATCTAATAAAAATTTAGAACTAACCAAAGAGAAAAAAGTGGCATAAAAATGTGTGATGCTCTCAATTCTTGATTATGATAAACTACAAGGCACTGACTGTTCCTCATGCATATTTCAGCATCTCAAACATGTTACCTTAGTTTACTTGAATAATACATTACAAAAGTTTTTCTTGAAAGAAATTTAAAATGTAAGAAATAGGTTTAACCCTTTACAGGGCACATGTTTTTCCTTTTTTAAAACTTTATAGGGCACATTCTTTATGAATGGGCAACATTTTTCAGGTTTTTAGTAAGATTTTAGGTTATGTTAGTAAAAACATACAATCTAAGGTGTTGGCTGTTGGTAAACACATTTTTGTGAAATAAAAAACAAAATAAAGGAAAATGCAAATTTATTTCACTCAATGTGAAATGAATAATCCAATGTTGCCAGTCATCCACACATGAACACACATATTTAAAAAATACAACATATTGCGTCAGTCATCTATACAATATTTACAAACATTCTGCCAAGAAGTGTGTATACTGCTGATATCACTGATGATATTAATATCTAGCCCCGATTCATAGTCAACTTCGTGCACTTCCATGTCACTTTAATTGAACCCAGCTAGATCTCCGCTATCATTTAAAGAATCATCGAAATCCATTTTGATAAACAAAGCATTAAAACCCTGAAAAGTTATTTTTTTTAAATTTGATCAAAGCTAGTTTGACTGCGCTAGATTTTATTTTAAAAAATCAATGTTTCTTTTAAAGTATGTATTGTTTTAACATGTAATATTTTTTCTTTAGTGATTATCTTTTCAAGCTGCTACTGATTGGTGATTCAGGTGTTGGAAAATCTTGTTTATTATTACGATTTGCTGTAAGTACAGTCTTAAATACAAACTGGAAGATAAGACTTTAACAATCTTGTTTTTTCTCAGTTTAAAAGTTTTATAAGTGGTTTAATGTAAGGCGTTTTAATCAAACCTTTTTTTGAGCATTCAAAGGACCTTGTTAACGCATACTTTACCACGTTTGAAAGTAACTGACTAATTTTAATTATTTTATAAATTCTTTAAGCTCAAGTTTTATTGAAATGACACCAAACACTTTAATCAATAGCAAGGGAATGATTGGTAAAATAAATCTTGAAATTATTATGTTTTTCCTACAGGATGACACATACACTGAAAGCTACATTAGTACCATCGGTGTAGATTTTGTAAGTAAATCTTTAACAAATTAATCCTTTTCTTTTTTTTAAATTTAACAAAAAGTGTTTTAATCATTTGAGTGGATTCATAACTGTTGATTTGAAAATTCTAAATATAATTTAAACACACATTAAATTTGAAATTTATAATTAAACTGTATAGTCATATTATTAAATTCATTATAAATGAATATCTAAGCATACAAACTTGTTATTTAAGGGAAAATAAATTGGGTAATGAATGAATTTTTTTTTTTTTTTAAGAAAAAAATTTAATATAATTTCTATGTTGTAGAATTGATAACATAAATTTGTCAAAGCTTTTCTTTTTAATATCATTACTGTTTTTTGTGTAATGCGCAAGAAGTGACAGTGACTTTGTTATCCTCTTTTCCCTGTATAATTTGACATTGCGCCTTGTAGTTTATTAGAATCAAAGTTGGTTAATTTGAGAATCACTGGTTGTGGGGGATCCTCTAATTCCATAAATAAATTTATAGAAGGCACAATCTTAATGTTAGATTTTTGGATCAATATTTCTATAGTTTAATAGTCAAAAGATGTTCATCACCCAAGGATATTGATATTTGATATGTTAACTCCAAAAGTGTTCAAAGACATGTTTAAGGCAAAGCTCTCTTGAATATTTGCCATTAAACCTCTGTGCCTGATGACCTGTTTGTCTGTTGTGACATAGCTTGATTTTTTTTAAATGCCTATATTTCTCCTTTAATGTGCAATGTTTTTGTGATAATAATATATTCTATAAACCACATATAAAACCCTTTTTTCAGAAAATTCGAACAATAGAATTGGATGGCAAGACAATAAAACTTCAAATAGTAAGTATCTTGTTTTTCCTTTAGAGAATATTTGTATATATCTATGTACTTAGGTGGGGTTTGCTCTCATTTTTCCCTGTTATAAAAAATATAAAGTTTCGTTTATTTTTAATTTACAGTGGGATACTGCAGGACAGGAGAGATTTAGAACCATCACATCCAGTTACTACAGAGGAGCCCATGGCATTATTGTTGTCTATGATGTAACAGATCAGGTTTGTAAATGTATTGTTATTTAGCAGCAGAAATTTAAATGACTATATTAACATCATCTGTATGAGCCGCAAAAACTATTAATATTATCTTTTGCGTTCTGCTATTTTATTTGTAATGTCGATTATCATTCTCCTATAGGATGTTGCAAATATGTGATATTTTCTCTGTGATATATTCACCACTTGGAATAATCAAATTCAGCATTGAAAATTCACACAACTTGGTTCCTACCAAAAAAATTTGCTATATATGTAGAGTTTATATGAGTCTATAATTTTTAAAACTTGGTTACAAAAATCATTTTCAAAAAATGTTTTAGGACCCTCTCTTCACTTGAATGGTACTTAATAAGTATCGGGGCCTAAAAAAATGTATCAATAGTCTGAAAATGTTTGTGAGAACAATGATCAGGGTGAGTGTAAATGGGGTGAATTACAACTTGGCTTCCGCTTCATGGAGATAGAAAATGAATGAAAAATGATGTGGGAACTAAGTTCATTTGATACTTTTTTTTATTTGGTCTTTCAAGCAAAGATTATTGGACCATTCTACAGATTATTCTGAACCGTCTTATAGTGAATAATGAAACTGGTAATCTGTAAATAGTCATCAGAAAATACTGAGATGTGAGAAGTAAACCTAAAGTATCTCATATTTTTTTAATATAATTTTACCAAAATTGGCAAGGCAGAATGTGCAAATTTCTAAACTGCTATTGTAGTTTTTTTCACTGGTCCCTTTTTTTAGTAAACACTATTTTACATTTTATTTTAATAAACTGCAAATTCAAATAATGTAAATTCTTCACATCATTTAGGCTTGAAATAGTATTTATTAACCCTATAACTGTCAGGTGCATTTTGCTTTAGTGTCAAGCCATTTTTAGGTTTTAATATGCTTGTCAAAAATTCACAAAATATTGAAAATTGTAATTTTTTGAGAATTTTATTCACTACCTTCACATTTCTTTCATAAAACATACAAAGAGGGAATGCCCGAACTGAGTTAAAAAATTCCTTTTCAATTGAATTTATTCAGTACATTTTTATTAATAAATACCAGTGCTTCAGAACATACACAAACATAAATGTCTTTAAATCTTTTTAGGGTAGGTATTTGGGATCCAGCCTTTTTCTTTTGTTTTCGATTTTCACCCTTTCCCAAACAAATTTGTCAGTGACAATATGGCTAAGATTAAGGCTAAAATTTTCAATATCTGACTCTTATGTCACCATCACCGCTATCTGCTGTAACACCACAAAAATAGGTATAACAGCCGATGATCAGACTTTATTACAGCTTTTTTTTCTTCTTCTTATATATATTGATGCACCTAAATATTTCATCTGATTCTAAAAATGGAACATTCATTTTTGGGGTTTAATTTAGAATAGAAGTTTTGAACAACCTATAATTCCAATAGGCATGGAGAAATTCTTAACCTGAATTTCAACTATTTATAAATCAATGCTAATATCTTGAACCATTTTTATAAACATTACATGTAACAATGTAACTGGACCGTTTTTCATTTTTATTTGAGAATTTTTATTTACATTGCAGGAGTCTTTCAACAATGTAAAACAGTGGCTCCAAGAAATTGACAGATATGCTAGTGAAAATGTCAATAAGTTGTTGGTTGGCAATAAAAGTGATTTGACAACAAAGAAAGTAGTGGACTTCACTACAGCTAAGGTATACAGTCAAGATTGGATTGGATTTTCAATTATTTTTTTCTAAGACAGGAACATAGCATCTTAATATATTGCTTTATGAATTTTCTACCTGTTCCTAAACTAATATTTAATATTTTATTAGGTAAGTTTAAATAGTGTGATTTTGTAAAAAAAAATTTCCTTCTTTCTTAAGACTGCTATTATCAACATCTCTAGAGCATTATGTATTTGTCACTCAAGTGGACTGGAGGGCTGTATTATGTTATTGATGAATTTAAAATTTATGTTTTCAGGAGTATGCAGACCAACTTGGTATACCCTTTTTGGAAACCAGTGCAAAAAATGCAACAAATGTAGAACAGGCTTTTATGACCATGGCTGCAGAAATCAAGAACAGAATGGGGCCCATTACAGCTGCATCAGACAGTAAACCTAGTGTAAAGATAAATTCTAGCACTCCTGTCAGTGCAAACAAAGGTGGCTGCTGTTAATGTCTATTTCTTTCAAATGTTTTTTGGGGCGTTTTTTTTTTTTTTAAACATTTTTTTTTCCTCCAGAATGAGGCTCTCCAGAAAGAGATGACCAAACTGGGTTTTGTTGAACCTGTCAAATTTTAAAATTACAATGGGTTGCAGTGAACCAAGTTTATTTCACTTTAGAATAAAGGGGGACTTTAAAAAAGTATATGCTCATTACTGCTCCCCTGTTACTTTGAAACTGAAATTGTAAGAGTTTTTTTTTTTTCACTCTTGTAATTAATAAATATTTCTCATGTTGAAATTGTGTTAATGACTAACTTTCCTGAAAAGAATTGCTACTTGAGCCTTTTTCAATTTGGGATAGACAGGTCTATCTAGTTCCACTGACTACTAAATGTATGAATGAGAGTTAGTTTCAAAATGTGCCGCCTTATCCACTTTACCTTATTTTGGCCTGATATCAATATGTTCTGTTATTAAATTATAATTTTTTTTTGAAGTAAACAAAATAGATTTTTTATCTCTATTTGATGTGGTTGTCTTGAGGTGGGCTAAATGAGCAACAGTGACTGATATGTTGGTGCTTTGGAAGATGTTTTCACTTTATTTCATCCAATTATGGAGCAGTTAAATATGAATGTGTTTGGTTTATCAATTACTCAAAGCTAAACAAAGAGAAACATTGAAATTTTACAACATTGTTTTGTAAAAAAAAAAAAGAAAATAACAACAAAATTTGATGTGTCACTTTGTACATTCATCCAGTGTCTTTTCTAATTTATTTCTAGTTCTACAATGATGCATGTATAACCATGACTGAATGTTGCAAAGTAAGGTGAAGATTGTAGGATGATGCCCTGAGCTCGATTAGAAAATGTTTCAATACTGGTACATCACCTATGTGTATATCTTTTTCATGAAGAAAGTTCCCCATCATCTTATTTTGCATCTTTCAGCAATGGTATTTTCTTTTGTGTGACAATGGCAACAGCACACTAAAAAAATCACATGCGGATATGTTTGTTTTGTCTGTCATTTGTGATGGTGTGTGCATTAACTTCACTCAGAATGTCATGGATGCTTTTTTAGGTGGGGTGGGGAATACATAATGCATATTTAAATGAAACCATATGTAGAGAAATGTGGGAATTAATAAAATAACTATCTGTATCCTTCAATGAAAATAAAATTTGTATCTGAAGTTGTACAATACATCTAATTCTGTCTACTTTGTGACTCTGTTTGACTTGGCAAACATTTTCATGTAATACAGAGCTATGGGGGGGGGGGAGACTTTGTGAATGGACTGTGGAACGCTAGGAGGAAATTAGGCAAAGAAGAATAGTTGAGTAGTTGGAGATAGATCAGAGGTTAGCTCATCATACAGAAAGGAAATGGTTACTACGGCTCTATGAACTTAAGGTTGTCGCTTGGTTTATGGTTTACATTATCCCATTAATGCTAACTTAAAGAATGCTTGTGATAGTGAGGGTGGTGTGGTCTGTCATTATCATTTGGGATATCTATTTTCCATTATGCATAGCCTTTCATCCATAATGTTGTATTGCAATATGGGTGGTTGATGACTGAGGGACAGTAGATGTACATAAGTCTGCATGCTTACAAAATGTTTATTTTTGTGCCATGTGATACCGTACTTGTCATTAAATTTTGAAAATATTGTCCCTTTGTTTTTTTTGTTTGTTTTTAAATTCAGAAATGGTTGTAGCAGTCACGAATGTCAGGCATTTTATTTTTCAATAATTTTATGTGTGTTCATGACCATTAGAAAGAAATAACACATTTTACCTAAGACATTCCGATGGAAAAAGAAAAAAAAAACAGCTGTTTAGCCAATGAACCTCTTTTGTTTATTCTCTAGAATTGTTCTATCATTCTCTTCAAGCAAGAGCCATTATAGTTCAGGGAGGTAATGGAATGGTTAGTGTTATTCAGATATTGTAGTTGTATCCATTTGTGCAATTTTTTTCAAATTATTTCATTTATTTCACATCCCTTTTTGTGTTGTTTTTTTTTTAAAATGAAGATGCATTATAATTATAGGTGTCTACATTTCAGATTATTTTTTTTTTTATTAATAATTATAAAATAGAAGCGCTGCAACTTGACTGAATGGATTGTTGATTGCATTATAAAGCACTTTCCATTCCAAGTTTTCAACATATTGTTTCTACTGTTTTTACAAGGTGATTGGATCACTTCTTGTATAAGCTGCTATCAGTTGTATTGGAAAACAACTGGTTTAAAGGTTTTTGTACTCAGAAAGCTACAGAATTATTCCTTAGATTTTGGTAGAACACTAACCAAGTTTGTTGTGTAGGAAAAACTATAAAGGGCTGGAAACTACCACAATCAATCAGTTAATGGTGGAAGACAGAAAGCCTTTTTTCTCCATCTTCTTGCTTCGTTTTATTGTGGGCTCAACTGAGGAAACATGATTATTGTTCATCTTCAGAGAAGCAGGATAACAATCGCTGCACTGTAAACATTATCATTAACAAATAAAAATATCTGTATATATATATATACACACAATTGAATTGTCTGATTTATTGGTTCTTGTTCCATTTCAGTTGTTTACTAATGTCAAGTTGCCTGCTATGTTTTGTGGTCCTCTAAACATGTACCCAAACTGTACAAAATAGGAAGTTTACGTCCTACACTTAACAGTAGGTGCGAATTTTTTGTTTTTTTCTTTTTTTACCCTATGGGCTCCCAAAGTCCACAGTCAATTTTTATAAAGTCCACTTCAAATCTTGCTAGAGACAAAACTTGCTTTTCTTGTATACCAGTACTTAATACTGGTGTACATTATTTTTTACAGGTATATATGTATACGGTACTGGTAAACTCATTTCCTGTTGGTATTTTGTACGGTCGATTTTTTGTCTACCGTACTAAAAACTTGCAACTTCACAAGACATATATCCAATGATCAATTGTTCAGTTCCCCACATAATTGATCTTAGCAGTAAGCGGTATGATTGACCACATTTAGCACTTTTTTTTTTCTTTAAACATATCTACTTAACTAAATAAAGCTGCACTCTATTTGCAAAATGTTTCTTAGATGTGGACATAATCCTGCAAACTTATCGCAGGTTAAAAAAATGCTGATCATCTCTACAACCTGTACCGGTACTATGAATTTTCAGTGCTTGCTCAACAGAGTTGATTTCTCTTCAGATTTAAAATCTATCTAAATAACGCATCACAGCTCATCACCGGGTTTGAGAAATATTTTTAAAAGGATAACAATAACATCGATACCGTGACGAAGTATCCCGCTAAAATCAATGTGGAGAAAGATAAAGAGGGTTGCCCAGCAATTTCCTGTGTCCAGATGGATTTCGAGATTCCAGAAAATACGCGGTGACACAGGCTCTTCCTGTTTTGTATCGCAATTTGGGTAAATTGCATAAGTATATAGCTGTCATTTAGCCAGCTGGAGTTGATCAAAACTGTTATTAGTATTAGGTCAGATAGGGTAATAAGGGGAGAGACCGCAATCAGGTTAGCACAATATAAAATGAGTAAAACAAAGTAGGGTTAGACCTGAAAAAAGGAATGCAACAAAACAACGAACGTGTAGGCAGAAAGCCTTCGTCAGCGAACAAATCAACAGAAAAAACGGTATAAAAATAAATATAAAAAAATTGCACTTAGCTTAGAAGTAATACAGCCGGAGACAGTCTTTGATTGCTGATATCTCGAGTTTCCTTTCAATAATCGTTCTCATACTCGACCTAATTCACAAGGTAGTTGGAATGAACACCTTGGTCGATGCCTCTGTATAAAGCATGCGAAAGTGACTTATTTTTGGGAGCCTAAACTTTTTTTTCTACAGTCCCTAGCAACTGGGTGTGACACACCCGTGCATAATTTTAATAATTTAGTAGAAGAAAAATGCATCTAAACTGGCTTGTGAACATTTTTGTTTGGTCTTCGTTTGTTGATCGTTTGTGTCTTGTGTCATCCATAACATAGGTTTTAAATTTTAACAATAAATAAATATTCTGAATGCATTCGGGTACCAACAGTAATAATATTTATTCAACTTGACAAACCATTTCAAAACAGAACTGTCACATGTACACATGGAAAATAGGGGCTTTGCGGCTCAGCTGCTTTTACATAAAAAAAAACAACAGAATGGTCTTTGCAAATATGTCTAATAAACTTACTGAGTTGAAGAGGTTTGGGCAGGTGTTTGAAGTGTTTGTAAAAATTTAAAAACACTGGCGAAGTTCTGCCTCACAATATCTTGATGCGTCGGGATGGATCGCCTCTACTTGCGGAAGGGTGAGGAAATGTGCAACGTCAATATTGACTGTCTGTTGTCTTCATGAGACAGTGAGTTAGTCGGATATTTCTTTTTAAATGCCACTATTGATACCAAGTCAAAAATGTTTAAATACGCAACCAGAGGCCATCTTTTACTTTCAGCTTTTTTTTTTTTTTTTTTTTTTTTTTCTTTTTGTTTTTTTTGTATTTTTTTTTTCTCCTTTTTTTTTTTTTTTTTTACCAAGTCAAAAATGTTTAAATACGCAACCAGAGGCCATCTTTTACTTTCAGCTTTTTTTTTTTTTTTTTTTTTTGCCATTTGGTCTTTGGCGAATAGTCTATGCCTCCTTTGATTTTGTTTTTATAGAACACAATCTCTGGATTCTTGCATTCAGTTTCGCTTTCTATAAGTGGATGATTGTGTTCAGGGGCAATACATTTTTCTGCTTCGAACTCTGGTATTTTACAAGGTTGTTTCTAGTCTGAACAAAAAACACTGATTTGTTGAGGGGCAGAGAACTTCTTTTTCCTTGGGGAGGAACACCTTGTTCCGTTTCACTGTTCCAACTAGTGTGAGTCTGTTCTTGGCCATTGGTTCTACAAGTTGTAGGAGAATGAAATAAGTCTATTCTGAAATTGCGGCCACTTCCATGCAAGTCCCTTGCGAGAGAAATGACAGTCTCTGGGGATATTCCAATATTTCTCTTTGCTGGCAGGGCACTTGCATTTTCTTTGCCGAGATATGGGCATCATCTCAGGGGATCGCTCAATGTCGATTCACAGTCACAAGGCCGGAAGATTTGTATTCCATATTTGTCGGGCTTGCTTGGCATATATTGAATAAATCTGCACCGACCTCTGATATCAACTAGTTGCTCACCTACCGTGCTTTTCTATCCAGGAAGGTATTACCTCGCCAAATTACCCATGAATGCTTCTCATCCATCTCTTATTATTGGATCAAAGATCTCACGAGCTAGAAAGGGTTGATCTTGTAGCATTACTATCACAACCATGAATCAGAAGTTTGCTGAATCTGGTCATTGAAAATGTGCCCTAAAAATAGGATTTCGATCAACATGGCTGAATAAAAAGTCCACTGTGATGCTGCTGAGATGAAGATTGCCAGTGTGTAGTAGTAGTAGTAGTAGTAGGCAGCCAATAAAAGCTTTCATTTAGAGCGCATCATTCTTTTGCCATTTGTCTCCTCTTACTTTCTCACCTTCCCTGATGGTGCGGTCAACCATTGTTTGTATAATTTTTTTTTTCATTTATTGTACCGGTACAGAAGAAATGTTTCAGTGGGAGAAACTATAGGATCCGTGAAGGGAGTTCGGTTTCAAAGCAACTAAGTCATGCCACATTGTAAAAAATTAAAATAACATAAAGAGAACCAGAGGCGTAGCAATGTTTGGCGCCCCGGGACAAGATTCATTTTAAAGAGCCTCCCTTTATTTTATTTCAACCTATTATTTTCATCAATAAAAAATAAAATAATATTAGCGCACATTTTGGCGACCCTAACTAGTCTGGCACCCAGGGACATCTGCTCCCCCTTAGCTACGCCTCTGAAGAGAAGCATTTACTGTGAAATAAGACTATGGGTGTAACCCACCCAGTTGCCAGGAATAGCCAGAAGCACTTTTTCCCAATATAATAAGTGTACGTGTGTGCTACACCCTGTCGCTAGGGACAGGGTATACAATAGGCTGAGGTGGGTAGGGTTAACTATCAAGAAAACTTGATTGTACCACTGTGTTATCAATGTCCTAGATGGTTTGAAGAAAAATAAAAAGGGAATACAACTGCATTTGTTTGTTGTTGATGTGCAGTATAGTTACACTACATTTTTAACTTAACAAATTTTGAATTTAATCATTATGTAAATTTAATTTATACTTATTTGTCTTTTTGTTGTACTGATGAAGGCTTGTGCCGAAACGTATACTTTTGTATTCTGTAAAATTATCATTTAAGCTTCCTGTTAATGTAATATTGACACAAATTGTTGTCTAATTAAGCAAAACCAAAACTTGACCAGCTTGCTGAGTTGTTCATTACTGGAGGGGCCACAGTACATAACAATTAAAATAAAACCTGAAAATTCAGGGATTGGGGGGGGGGGGGGATGCAATTCCCCTTCCCCTCCCCAAATGACGTCCCTGAGTGGGGTGAGGGAGCTGGCAATTGCTAAAATAACTACGAGTAACACAAGCCGTTCACAACCTGGGATCCATTGCTTACACTAACTTACAGTAAATTGAGTAAACATGACCCAACCCAAAGAACTCAGTTCGCATCGTCTCAAGATGTCACTCTGTCTGCACCGTCTTATAGCAAGGGTGTTAAATCTGATAGGAGATTACCTGTGAAATGTCATCGTGGTTTGTGCACGTGATAGACTGATTGAGTCGTGAATTACCCGTGCATCCGAAAAATGTACATGGTACTCCGAATGTGTTTAAAACATGGATACATTACTACACCCAATATTTATTAAGCACGGACACAGTGGCGTACCTGGACTAAATGCCGCCCTGGGTGAACACACAAATTTGGGGACTGCAGGGGGCCTCGGGATATTTAAGGGGCCATAACTGGAAACTGGCAGGGGGCCTCGGGATATTTAAGGGGCCAAAACTGGAATGTTACAGGGGGCCTTGGGATATTCAAGGGGACAAAATTTGAAAGTGACAGGGGGGGCTTTGGGATATTTCAGGGGCCAAAATCGGAAAGTGACAGGGGGCCTCGGGATATTTAAGGGGTCAAAATGGAAAAGTGACATGGGGCCTCCAAAAGCTCTTCGATGGCTCTAGAGTCACCCCCTCCAGACTTCCCCACAAACCTCCTCCGAGTTTAATTTCTCAGTTGAAACTTTGCTCTGGTGGCAATCCTATCAGGCGACACCTTGCTCCAGGGACTCTCTACTCTTGTGGCATCCTGCTCAAGTGGCAACCTTCTTCGGTGGCATCCTGGTCTGGTGGCAACCTTCTCAGGTGACACCTTCCTCTATTGGCAACCTTCTCCGGTGACATCCTGGTCTGGTGGCAACCTTCTCCGGGGGCATCGTGCTCTGGTGGCAACCTGTTTTCTTGTAGTACCTACTCTTGTGGCAACCTGCGCTTGTAGTTAACAACGATCGGTTATAAAATCTTTTCAATCAACCTCTGTTCAATTTGACATTTTCACCCCCACCCCGAGTCGTACACGAATTTACGAAAAAAAGTCACAGAAAAAACTTTTTATTAATCGGAATGTTTTTTAAGTCCATGAAAATGCTGATGATAGACTAAATATCGGTAAATGGAAACGACAGTCCCAGGAAGAAAAGTGAGGAAGAAAATAATAAAATATGAAAATCAGACGCATTTACACAACTATATATAAGCATTGATGAGTACCACATAAATAAATTAACAGATATGTCTGAAGGTAAAGCATTGCAAAAAAATAATAATTTTGAATTATTTTTAGGAGAACTGTCTGAGGAGCACTCATTAAATTCTTTTGGTCAAACGCCGCATTGACCACATTGAGGCCATTGATGCTTTGTCTGGATAGAGTCTATCACTGAATTAGAACCACAGGGCATTCCTTTTCTTTGATTCCTTTAGTATGTGACGTATGTCGTGGAGATCAGAGGCGAGAATTAAATGACAATCTTTTTGGACGAGAGTTAATCTCTGCCCAATCGCTTACTGCCATTTATCGTTATTCAATCAGTAATATATCTGTTAATTGGCTTCATGCATGATTAAATAGCCTCTAAAAACAACGTTTTTCGAATAAATCCTTTACATGCAGCTTTTATCATTTTATTTATATTAATATGCTCATGTCCCCACCGCTTTTACACCGCAAATTTATTTCACCAACTATTTCAGAAAAAAAAGAAGAAAATTTGACTTACCAAACGCACTTGCGATATTATTATTAAGAATCTCATTTTAGCGCAGTTAGCGGCCATGTTACTTCGTGAAATCAGTGTCGTCATATTTCCCTTCACCTTCACCCTGAGAAAAAAAAAGGAAAAACATATTTTTGGGGGTAAGATTTGTGGCTGAAAATTTGATAGAATGTGTTGACATCGTCCACGCCCCTGAAGTATATTAATATTCTAATGACGCACCCGCTTGTAGACCGCAGATAAATTGCACAAAATATTTGAGAAAAACAAAAGAAAATATTACGCACCAGGCGCACATGCGATATATATATATATATATATATATATATATATATATATNTATATATATATTTATTTATTTATTTATATATATATATTTTAAGAATCTCAGTTAGCAAAGTTATCTGGGATTTTTATTTCGTGAAGTCTTATTTCCTTCATCTTCCCTTTGAAAAACAGATTTTTGAGAGCTTTGGTTAAAAAATAAAATGGGTGAGGAGGGCGGAGCTGAAAATGTGAAAGAATGTGTTGTCACCGGCATCGAATCTATATACCAAGTTTCAGCTCGATAGGCTGACGGTAAGTGGGTCAATAAGCCGTTCCTAAGGATTTGGCCAGTCCACCACCCTCCAGTCAGCCAGGAACGAACAAAAGCGAAGTTAATGTAAAGGATTTAAAAGTGTAATAAATTATGAATACATCATAGAATAATTTGGGTGATTTTATAATATGTATACATAACATAAATAACACACACATTTAATCCTAAGCGAGAATCAAACCATGTTCCTAATGAACCGCCTCTTATTTCCATTTACTGATATTTAGTCTATAATAAACATATCTACGGACTGGCAAATAAAATTACGGTTAATAGACAGATTTTCTGTGACTTTTTTTTTTCTCGGTTTTTTTCTTTGACTTTTTTTCCTAGTAAAATTTGTGACTTTCTTCCCGTGACTTTCACTACGCTCACCCTGCAGACAAGGGGTTTACTTAAGATATTGACTTATTTACGTGTTCTGTATTTTTTTTTGCCTTTTCTTAAACGTACATCGTACGTTCATTTGTGACCTCCATAAAGTATGTCACGCTCCAGAGGGGGGGGGGGGGGGGG